ACTTTCTTTAACCATCCTTTTCTGGCTGATATACCTGTAGAATCCCTCCTTATTATTCTTTGCATCCCTAGCCAAGTTTAGCTCCAGCCGCACCTTGGCCTTCCTGACCCCATTCTTACACAACCGGACCGCGTCCCTGTACTCTTCCCAGGATGCCTGGGACACATCACACCCAGCTCAGCAAATGCCCTCCAGCTTGGCAGCAAATGTGCCAAAGGGGGTGATGGAGGGGATGGGTTTGAATTCCTGCGTAATCCTTTGGTCAAAACCCACCAGCCTGGCAAATATCCTCTGGCACAGCTCAAGGACAGACTTTGATATCAGCAACTGACCTCAGAACCCAGGACCACAGGACGTGGGACGCTGGTCCCAGAGGCTCCCACTGCCCAAATTTTACTGAGCCCGTGCCACAGCTCTGGATCTGCTCCCACTGCTCAGGCAGCAACAGCCTCTCCTGGCTTTCTGGGGGGATTTCAGGGGCTCCCGAGCTGGCACCCAGGGCAGACCAGCGGATAAAAGCCACCAGCAGCTCCTCTTCCCAACAACCTTCCTGCCCTTGGCAAGCTAACTGGCACAGGGAGGTGGGGCAGCCACTTACTTTCTTCCACGGGAGTCGAGGCTGCAGTGGCCATTCCCTGCCAGGAGGAAAAGGGAAATGAGATGTTGCCTGTTTTCAGTTAACCTCAAATTTTACCCTAAACGCCCCATTTTTGGTAAACATGGCCATCTTACCCTAAATACCCCATGCAATACCTCAGGGCACATTGGATGGCTTGGCCATGGGCACAAGCACCACCACCTCCCCCATGGTGGAAGGCAGGAGCACATCAGCGAGCTTGCCAGGGTGCACGGGATGGGGCGGAGAGCGTGCCCAGCTGCTGCTGCTTCCCCTTCGAGCCGGACCGTAGCCGGGCGAGCCGCCAGGGCCTGGACACCAGCCAGTGCCACACAGAAAGGCCTTGCCTTTCTGTCAAGGCAGCAGTGAAGAAAGTATGGGCTATGGGCTCCCTCACTGCTCAGCAGCCAAATCCCCCTTCCCATCGTCTAAGCAGGTCACGGGGATTTGTTTTCTTGGAGGAGCTGGGTGAGAGCCCAAACCACAGCTGGTCCCAGCACTGACCTGGTGGCACCCACATGGCAGGGGACGCCCTCCCCACCAGGGACGTGGCGCTCACGTGCCCTTTGCCTGGCCAGCAGGCAGCATACCTGCGCGTCCTGCTTCGCCCTGATCACCGGTTGCGGCATCACCTTCTCCAGCCCCTGGACCAACCAGGCAAACATCCTGGTGACCAGAAACCACTGCTAGACACAGCTGCTGGAGCCTTTGCTCCCACAGCAGCCGTCCCTCTGGCTGCCACACCCATGCAGGAGCTGCCACTGCCGTTACCTGCTGCTGTCCCCAGCCAGGGACTGAGGGACGAGGGTGGCCATGGGCTCCGGCTGCCCCTCTGCTGCTGCTGGCTCTGCTGCTCCCAGGATGCTCTGGGTGGCTGAAATGCCGCTTTTTGACTTTGCCTGGGTTTTAGTCCCTTTTGTGCCTGCTCAGGTTTATTTGGAAGGAGAAGGGGGATAAGCAAAGCAGCAGTCGTGTTATAAACCGTTGGGGAAGGGGAGCAAGCACGAACGGGTCACCTCCCACAGAGGGACAGGCTTGCGGGATCTCCCTGGCAGCTCTTCCCCCAGGGACCCCCTGGGATGAGGACACAGGCAGTTTGGGGATGGATGTGGTGTAGGGTCCATGCTGTGATGCTGGGACCCAGCACGTCCACCCTTCCTGGTGGGGTCAGAGGGCAGCCCCAGGGCTAGTGCGTGCCTGCACCCACATTCTCAGAGGCTGAGTGACCCCTCTGGAAGGGCCACCAGGGAATGGGGATCGCTCACCTCCCACCGTGGCTTCGCACTTCTGCTCCTTCAGCTCCGTCTGCAGAGGTACAGAAGGACGGATGGATGTGGCAAAGCACTGCCTGCAGCCCCACATCACACTGGGCGGGCACGTCCCCCACCTCAAGGGGACCCACATGCCCAGCTGCACACCCCCCCACTCCCGTTTTGGCCCCACTTCATTGACAAGGACCATTAAACCAGACCCCGGCATTGCTGGCACCAGTGGGTCCCAAATGGAGGGTCCCCCCCAGCATGCGGCGAGGTCAGGGAGCACAGGGAACAGCACCCTGTGGCCTTTCTTTTGCTCTGCTGAACTCCCCTGGGGTTTTCCTCTCCAAGGTCCCAGCTGGAGCATGTGGGAGGATGAGGACAGGGAGCCCGCTCTGCTGTCACTTCTGCCTGGCAGCCCCCGGTCACCCCCAGCTGGGCGGCACTCACCTCTGGCTTTTTCAGCATCTCCGGCTGTGGCACCATCCTCTCAAAGCCCTGCACCAGCCAGCTGAGCACCCGTGTCCCTGCCCTGCGGGGAGAGCATGCCACCGCTGGGGGCTTGATCGAAGGGCGTTATCTCTGCAAGGAGAGCAGTGCTGTGGGGATGGGGGAGAGCCAGGACTTGCACTGCTGGGTGGTCCTGGTCACCCCACCCCCCAAGGGGAAACCAGCACCCCCATCACCGACTGGGGCTGCAGGAATCCCAGAAAGGCCCCCGGGATGCTGCAAGATGTGGGCTCCCAGCTCTCCTTACCCAGAGCATCCTCTTCCTCGTCCCTGAGGATCTGGACCTCCGTCTGAAAAGCCAAACAGACTGTAACCTGCCCAGCAAGCAGGGGGTTCATCCCGCCAGCGGGGAGGGAAACCTGCCCTTTCCCCGGGGATGGACGAAGGCCAAAGCGCACGCAGGGCAGGGTTAGCGCTCCCAGTTAGCACTGGGAGAGCAATAGGAAGGAGAAAAAAAAAAAAAGAAGAAAAGGTAAAAAGAGCTAGAAGCCCAAATGGGCCAGAGCGCTGCCCAGCTCTGTCACCTACCTGATCAGGGACATCGATGCTGGTCTCAAAGCTCTTCCCAAGCACCTGCAGCATCCCTGGGGCTGGTACCGGCTGGGGAATCACCTTCTCCAGCCCCTGGGAGATCCAGGAGAGCACACTGCTCCCCACACTGCCAGGAAGGGGCTGAGTCAGGCCAGGACCTCCTGTCACAGGCACCTAGCCCCAGACCAAAAGCAAACCCGAAGCAACCTGTGTTGCACACAGGAGGGTGCAAGGGCAATACCTCTCAAAGACAGAGACTGCATCCTCTGGGACTGTGAATCCCACCCTCTTTTCCATTTCTTAAAGGCAGCAAGAAAAAAAGAGTAAGGTCGCATCACTGCTCCGCTAGGCCCCGGCGTGCCGGGCAGAGGGGCACCAGCCGGTACCAGAACGCTGATCCGCTGCCCAAGCCAGGGCGTCCTCCCGCTGTGGGGGCTTACCCTCGGCATGCGTGTGGTCTGCAGCATCCCCAGGGCCACTGGCCTTTCCCATCGGTGCCTTCAGGATAAAAGGCAGGAGGTGTCAGGGCACGAGGTGCAGGGGACAGGTCCCCCACTCAGAGGTGGCTGCAAACCCCAGGGCCTCCCAGCAGCTCACAGGGGGGATGCATCCTGGCCCCCATCCCTCCCGGGGTGCTGCCAAGCATCCCTGGGTGCTGCAGGGCCACGGCTGGGTGCAGAGACACTGGGCACCCCTCCACCATGCTCGCAGGGCCCCCAGTACCTCCCACACTGGCTTTCTGCTCACCTTAGCCTGCTCTGGGTCCCGCAATGGGGCCGGGGGGATCTTCTCCGTCAGCTGGAGCACCGGGGGCTGGGGAACCACCCGCTCGATCCAACCCAGCATCCTGCCGCCACCAGGAAGCGAGGAGGGGGCTCCGGCTGGCAGCAGGGTCGCGTGTTCCCTAGGGAATGCTGGGCGCAGCAGCTGCTCACAGTGTCCCCAGGGCAGCCCAAAAAGGCCCTTGGTGTCCTCCCGTCTCAGTGTCCTGCTTGGAAAATGTGGCACTGAGGCACAGCCAGAGCAGACCCAGCTCAACCCCTGACCCCTCACCATTACTGGGAGTAAACTACACCCTCTGCTTTAAGCTCTCAGGCTCAGTTAAAATTCATTTTCCTAAATGTAGCCACTCATTGAGGGTATTTTTTGCAGAACCCTCCACGGCTAGGGTTGCACAAGGAGAATTCCTCATGAAGCCATAGCAGATAGAGCACAGAAACCATGATGCTCTGCTCAAGGTCCTCTTCTCTCCTCCCCATTTTTCATTCCAGGGATGAAAAACAACAGCGATTTGAGCAGGTTTTGTTTATGGGCAAGTTCACATCCCAACACATGTGTCAGCTCATTGTGCCCCTAGGTAATGACCCTGCTCTGTCACCTTTCGGCCATGGTGGCCGCCGGGGCAGGCGCCTGCCTGGGGAGCCGGGCAGCCATGGGAGCCAGCAGGGGCTTGCTGCAGCTGCCAAGATGTTGATGGGGTAGGTGAGAATCAGATGTTGCAGAACAGGGATTCAGCTGCTTAAGTTCTGCTTGCTCTGTTTTTGGGTCCCCCCATCCCTTCTCAGCGTGACTCCAGGCTGGGATGCAGCACCAGCGAGATAAGCGATGCTGCACATTCCCATGCGGGGGTACAGGACAAAGCTCAGGGCTCTCACCCAGCTTGAACTGCTGATTTCTGCTGCTCCCCCTCCGGAGAGCCCTGCTCTGCCTACAACGCCCTTCCAAAGACACCCCACTCCACTCAGGAGCAGCTCGGGTGGCCCCCATGCTGCTGCTGGCAGGAGACACCCGCAAAGTGGAAGAGAAAGCAGATCCCCAAGGTCCATCTGGCCCGGCCAGGAGACCACACGGGGGGTTCAATCCCAGGTTAACACATGGCTCCAGCCCCATGCACGCAGCAGGTTATGGCTGGGGGCCGCTCAGCACCGGGGTCTCTGCATTAACCCCTCACTCAGCTTTTGGGCCAGCCGAATGCCTACAAATCCCTCCAGGAGGTTCATCAGGGGCTGCCCAAAGCCTGGCATCTTAAATCTTAATGAGCCAAGGTTCCTGGGTGAGGTGACGCACGTCCTCAGCTCTTTGTTTGCCCCTGCCTTGTGCAAGCCCAGGAGCCAAGTTTGGATGCGGCCGAAGCATCGACCCACACAGCGCCTGCAGCCAGCAGCACATGGGGCAGGCTTAGCCTTCCCAGGGACCCCCACACCCCCAGAGCGGGACGGGGTGGCTGTGAAACACCCCCCAGGAGGCCTGATGACCAGAAACCGATTAGAAATTGCCTTTTACCTGCCACTGGATATACGGGATTAAGGAGTTGTGGATGCCCCAGGAACAGCAAGGAAAACCCGGCGGCACCATCGGCACAGCAGCGTTCCCACCCGTGTTTCGGGACCTTCACAGGTCCCAAAGCAGCCCAGGGCATGTACACTGCTGAGCCCAAGCAAGCCCAGAGAAAGCCCCCGGGGCTGGGGCAAGTCGTCCGTGACCGCTGAGGTCTCCTCCTCCCTCAACATAAGCTCGCACAGCTGCAAAGGCTTGGGGCTTAAGCCTGTCCTTGGCCCGGGAAGGAAAGCGGAGGGCGGGGGGCCATTCCTCTGGCACATCCGACCACAAAACGGGCGGAAGCATTTGTGGGTCCCCAAAAACCAAAAAACCAGCTGCTGGAAGAAATAGGGGTACACAGCCAGGATCTGCCCACAATGGCACCAAAGAGCAGGCAGCCACCTGCAATCCCCCTGTGTGGCAGGCACCAGCTGGTGCCACTGCCTGTCGTGCCCGCTCTGCGGGGCTCGTGACAGCAGGCAAAGGGCCCCGGTTTGCCAGATTAAGGAGTGGGGCGCAGACCCAGCATCCCCATTTGGAGCAGGGAGCACCACAGCCTTTCCCTCCCCTCCAGCGTCAGAACAAACCCCTCCACAGCACCCAGCTCCATGCCACTTGCAGCATCACCCCCCATGGACCCAGCTCCATCGCTCCCCTACCACGGACCTGCGCCCCTGCTGTGTCCCATCCTCCAGCTCCATTTTGGAGCACCTGCCCCCCCTGCGATGGGCAGAGGTGGCCCCACAGAAACCCCAGCCATGTCCCTCAACTCCATCACTGCCACTCACCCCTGCGTGCTCCCCGCCGCCTCCCTCGGGAGCCACCCCCAGGATGCGTTGGCTCCCTTGGCCACCACAGCTTGCCACTGACTCACAAACCTACCCCAATCCGCTCAGGGCTCTGCAAGGATTAGCCCAGTGCTACCTGCAAATGGGATTACCGGCACCCAGCTGTCCCGAACGCCCTGGCTCCCAGCAGCCAGCCTGGTTTCGATGCAGGATAGCGCAAAGAAAACCCCCAAATCAAGGAGCTCTGAGCATCCTCAAAATCCCTGGGCCCACCAAAGGTCCCCCAGGCACTCACCAGCCAGGCGGGAGCCCGGCAGCGCTACAGGGAAGGCTGTCGGTCTCGCCCGGGCGGGTGCAGGGACGTGCAGATGAGCAGCAGTCGGGCTGCTGAAACCCCGTGGGGCGTTGCAAGGGCGATGTACCCAAGGGCGAGGGCGATGCTCCATCTGCAGCTCTGCCCCCACCCTGAAGGATCTGGGGCAGGAGGCAGTAAATCTGTGCCAGGCTGAGCTAAGCCTCCCCTTGCTGAGCCTGCCAATTGCTGCTTGATCCGTTTACCTCCAGCCCTGCACGACTGCCAGCGTTTCCCATTGCTCCCAATCTTGGTTGTGGTCACACCCCAGAATCCTTGTATCAGCTTCACTGCTCAATGTCCAGCCCCAGCCTTCTGTCTTCGGCCAGAGCCCCCTCCGCTGATTCCTCCACCCTTGGCCCCACGGGTGTCCCCAGCCTGGGAAGCAATGAGTACCCTTCCTGCCCGGCCCCAGCCCAGCGCCTGTGCAGCTTTGGTTCACAGCTAGGGAACTGAGACACAGAGCAGCGGTCTCCCAAATTGCACCTTGTTCCCCAACTGCCAGGCCCGGGGAAGCTGACCAAAAGGCATCCCTTTATTTCTGAGATACTGTTCACTCTGAAGTGGAGCGATGACTGCTTACAGCTCAGCATTGGCCGCTGATTTTTAATGGCAGAAACATGAATCAAAGGTGCTTGCCACACTCCCAGGCCGCATGGCTGCCAAAGCCATTACCCAGCCTCAGCTCTCCTCACTTTGCTCCCTGCAACTCCAGCCAGCAGAGCTCCCGTCCCAGCTCACAACCCTCCAGCCCCCACAACGCAATTGGATCAGGGCTACCCCCACACATCCCCCCGCCCCCCCCAGCCGCTTGCGCGACCTCCAGCCCTGGCGCAGCCCCTGGCCAGTGGTGCCAAGGGGTGAGTGAGGCAAGCTGCGTCCCCAAATGCACTGAACCCCCATGTGCCTGTGCCACCGCTGCTGCCTCCCTGGGATGTGCCCGGAGACAGCCACCGCCGCGGTGCTGCCTCCATCGCCAGGCTGGGGAGTGCCGAGTGCTGGGGCAGGAGATGCTCCAGCACCCAAAAAAAATCTCAGTTCAATCTGTCTACAACTTCAGCTGCCCCAAATGCCCACCTCCACACAGGGGGGCAAACCCTCTGCTCCCCACTGTGGGACTGCTGCTGACCCCCGTGCCAGGGCTCAGAAAGCAAGGTGAGGGAGCTGCTGCGTAATGCCTTGAAAACCCTGGAAAACCCACCAGGAAACCAGGAAAAAACACCCCTGCGAAGGAAGCATGCTGTGGCGGGCCCAACAGAAAGGTCCTGGGAAGCAGCGCTGGCTCCTGGACGGGCACAGCATTAAATCATCTTCGTGTCTCTGCAGCAGGATCAGCAGTGGAAGCAGTACCGGCCCAAATCCTGCACCCTCGGGGCACAGCCTGACCCAGGTCCCACCTCGCTGGAGGCTGCCCAGGTCCCACCAAGGAGATGGCACTGCCTGAAAGAGCAAAGTGATGCAGGGACAGTTTCAAGTGGACTTTTGCAGGCTCAGGTTTGTGAAATCCTGCAGCAAGGGGTTCAAAACCAGCAGCATCTGCTGGCAGCTAAACCTGCATCTCCTCCAGGGGCAGCCTGAAGACACCCTGTCTTTGAGCCAGACCTTGTACAAAGGCCTTCAACTTCTTCCTGGCAGGGAATGCCCCAGAGGACCCCCAGGGAGGAAGGGGAAGGTTCTGCTCCTCACCTGGGCGATGCTGCCAGCACTCCTGGCATGGTTGCTGGAGAACTACCTTCCGTCCGCTTCGGCTCTCCTTCCGTTTGCAACCCCAGCTTTTACGTTCATGGGGGGAGGCAGGAGGGACCGGTGAGGATACCTGCACGGAAAACAGCTGCCCAGTGGGTGAAGGCGCACAGAAAAGCAACCACACCTTAAGGGGCTCTTAATAAGGTGCCGAGAGGATGCTGCCCCACCAGCTGCTCCTGCTCCAGCCCCAGCCAGCCTGGGGCTCAGGCGCCTGCAAAAATCACGTGTCTTTGCTGTGGAAAAATTGAAGAGGAGAAAGTAAAAGCCCACATAAAGCACCAGTGGTGCCGATGCAGTTTACTTGCCTGCCCTGAGGATATGAACCACACAGCTCAAAGACAGGCACAGCTTACAGCTACCGGCTGCAGGTCTAACTTTTCATCCTCCCCTGGAGAGTAGCCGGCAGGGATGAGAAATTAGGGCAGCTGTGGAAGGTATCGCCCTTCTGCTGCCAGGCACCATCCTGCTCAGGGGCACCAACGCTCTCCCGGTGCGTCTCTCAGCTCAGCTGCCACAGAGGGACCAGTGACCCAGTACCAGCGTCAGCAAAGGGGAAGGGGGTCCTGCTCCTTCCCCGAGACATGGACACCCCTCCTCCTGAGCACCTCTCTGCTGTGATTTAAGGAGCTCTGAACCGAGCAGCCAGACATGAAGGGATGCTGAGACCTCTCTCAGTCGTGGTGCTGTCCCCACTCCTGCCTTGCTTTCCCATTCCCTTCCCAAACCTTCTGCTGGAAGCGTTTTCTCAGTGATCCGGAGACAAACACACACCTCACCTGGCCTGAGATGGAGCAAGGCAGGGCATCCGCAGGGAGCGGGCTCCTCTCTTGCTGTCACAGGACAGGGCAGATGCAAACAGAAAAACCTGTGGGAAAGCCGCAAGAGTCATGCGTAGGGCTGGGGTCCTCTGAGCACCACATGCATCAGCTCCCGCCTCCGCAGCAGTGGCTGCTTTCTGGCAGAGAGCCCCGCTTGCTCCTGCCCTGACAGCAAGCCAAGCTCCGGGGAGGGAACGGGGGCAAACCTAACAAGGGGCGAACCCAATTGCAGACTCTGCCTGCTTTTGCTTTTGGCCCCTGGGGGTCCACCTGTACCCTGCATCCTGACTTGTAGCTACCAGGCAGAGAAACCATCATTTCTTCATCAAAAAAGTTCAGGAGAAAGAAAGAAAACATTAAAAAAAACCAAAAAAGCCCAAGCAGAGCCAGAGAGAGCACAAAGCAGATGGGAAGTGGTGCCCAGCTCTGCTCCAGGAATCGCACACATCCACGGGAAGGTATAAATAACTATAAATTTATTAGTAAAGCAAACCCATTTGACACTTACAGAGAAGAGCGGGATGTGTTAATACAATATATATATACACACATACATGGAGTATCATCTTAGAAACACATGGGGAGCAGTGTTAAAGGCACTGCAAGCCACACAGACCTCACCATCCTCGGCCACAACTTCCCATGGCCCTGGGAACTCTTCGGAGGCACAAGTGCAGGTCAGGAGGAGCCTGAGAGCCTCACCGGCCGTGAAATCCCTTGGGTCCACAGCTCGGAGGCATTTGGAGGCAAGCTCATGGTCCAGCTCCCACCTGTGGCCCTGCTCTCCCTGCTGAGCACCCTGGGCACTCTGCGGGAGCAGCGTCTCCACAGCCAGAAAGCAGCGGCGGCCGCCGGGAGATGCTGCCGAGGGAGCCGGGCAGCTGGGGAGAATCCGGGCTCCCTGGGGCCTGGGGGAGAGCCGCGGTCCCCAGGCCCTGCCGTTATTGCATCTCGGCATTTCGGCTGCATGTGCGGGAACCTTCCCGCACAGACTCACCACCCGACAGAGGAAGAGTCAAACTCTGAAGAACAACAAGGGGTTTTTGCTTGTTTTTAATAGTCAGGCTCTGGCTGCAGCCTGGACTTGTCAGTAAATACTCAAGGGAAGTGTAAAAAGTGCTCTCCCTCCTCCTAACAGTGCAAGGTCAGACTGAGCACCCAGAGATGGTCCCAAACCGCTGTCAGAGGATGCTTTCCCCCTCACCCCCCACTCCAAGCGCAGGGGCCCCAAGACCAAAGCACAGACATCTTCCCCCCCAGATTGCAGGGATGGGATCTGCTCCCCAGAGGGCTGGCGGGGATGCCTGGGCATACCCACGGTCCCAGGGGCATCCATGCCATGGCTAGCTGAGCTCAGCCACCCACCCGATGCACACAGTCGCTCCACAGCCCTTCCCGGGGAACCGAGTGGCCCAGCCCTGACCCAGCGCCATGACTTCTCCCCAGGAACATCTGGGACATGGTCCTCAACCTCAGAGATGCGGCAAAGGGCTCCACCACAGAGATGGTCACTCTCGCCCCAGTGCCCGTTTCCTACAGCTCTGCACTGGCTCCTGGTCCTGCCTCGAATCACTGGCCATAGCCAACAGACGCGACCCAGCTGAGCCAAGCTGCCAGGCCACAGGCATCGCCTATGCCCAGCAAGATGAATGCCCTTGGAAGGGAAGGACCAGAAGAACCTGCTGGATTCCAGCACAATTCCAGTCCCAGACACCTGACCTCATCATCAGTGCTTGGTGTCACCTGGATCCACCCTGGGAGAGGAATTTGGGGTGGGAGGGCAGAGGGAAGACAGGGGGAAGAGACCTTGCAATCAGAATGGAAAAAGGGATGAAAACCAAACCACTGCTTCCAAATAAAGAACTGAACAAAGGGCAAAGAAGCCTCGGAGGTCTTATAAAAGCATAAGCAAAACAGCTGTGGGGGGAAGGGGCTGAGACACAGCTAAACACACCCTGTGGGTAAGGTGAGGGGAAGTGAAGATCAGAAAAAAGCCCAGGTGGCAGATTTCCTTCTGCCTGCACCCAGGAAGCCCGCGGAACAGCAGCCCTGGAGAACAGGATTCACCTCCAGGACAACATCCACACCGCTTCCAGCCAGCCTGACACCCCCCTCCTCCACCTCCCCCCCGGCAGCATCCCATGCTCAAGCTGCCTGCCAAAGCCAACAACCCCCGGGAGGGACCATCCCCTACTCCAGCCCTACAGAGCACCCCCAGGTCGGCAGGCAAGCAGGTCCTGAGGATGCAGGCGAGTGCTTGTCACAAAGCTGACACAACACCAGCTCCAGCACCGTGACCCTCTTGGGTGCTGCGGGGCAAGAGGCCAAGTGGAGGGAGCACGAAGAGGCCTGGAAGCCTCTTGAAACAAATGTCAGAAGTGAAGTGCAACACAGGTACAAAAACAATTTTCTCCCAAGAGCCTTTGGCCGCGGTTGCTCTTTGGTTTGGGAAGGAAACACTGGCAGTTAAGAGCACGTCCTTGGTGGTGCAATGCCCAGGTGACACAGCCCCCAGCCCAGCACCACGCTCTGGACACGCACGTGCCTCGTACTGTTTCCATCACCTCTCGCCTCACGGTGCAAAACGTGACCCACAGGCACGGCAGTGGAGACCGGCCTCGCA